GCCCCTTGACAGAGATAAAGTTCAATCCGCACTCTTTGGCCACAGCGCTAGCCAAGAGCGTCTTTCCGCATCCAGGGTATCCGTAAAGCAGCAATCCGCTCCTCAATCTCAATGGGCAATTCTTGAAAATGGCCGCATACTTGGTCGGCCATTCGAGCGTCTCTCGAAGCGTTTGTCGCGTAGCTTGCAGTCCGCCTATATCGCTCCAGGCTACGCTGGACGTCTCCAATTTCACGTCGCGCAGATTCAACGGCACGAAACCTTGTTGTGCCGCATCGAAATCCGACATGCCAAGCGTCAGATTCGTCTGTCGACGAGGCGGGGGTCGAAGAGCCGCAAACGAGCGTATTGTCAGCTTCTACCACGGCGGGCGCTCACGCAAGCAGCAAAATCCCAGTCACGCCTCACCTCGCTCTCCACTCTTGCGACGCGTATAGCAGCCTGATGCGCGGCCCTCTCGACGAGATCTCGCAGATCCGCAGGACAGTACCCTTCCGTCTTTCCCGCGAGCTGCACCACATCCAGCGCAACGTGCTGCTGCTCTTTCATCTTGGCTGATCGCTCACGCACCAGTGCCCCGATGATCTGTCGCGGCGCGAACAGTGCAATGTAAGCGCAACGTCTGCGCGCGCCATCCCGCCACCCCCCACTCACCTCTTTTCTAGCCTGTTTATCCGGCGTCTTGATCTGCAGCGTCAACTTAAAGACGTGCGAATTAGCAAGCTCCTTGTGCACATTGCCATTACTAGAGCACAGTAGCAGCACGTTGGCCTCCCTCCTTTGCACCGCAGCGAGCAACGTCTCTGCCGAAAATCTAGCATGCGTTCCTTCTGCATGCTCCACCTCTGCCGGACAAACACGTTCCACATCGTCCAGCCAGAGCACACTGGGAGCGCACCAAGCAGCAGCATTGATCCATTCGCGCACTTTGCTCCGCAGAGCCGCTGGTCGGAGTTCGGAGTAGTGGGCGCAGTCGATGCGGATCGATGCGATGCCGTGCGCTTCCATGGAGCGGCACAAGGATCGACAAAATGTCGACTTGCCCGTTCCTGATGCTCCTGTAACGTGCAGCGCTCCGCTGGCTCGCGTATTCATCTCTGTCCCCCGACCTGCTTGGAGCGCTGCGAGGCGCTGAGAACGCAGCGCAGTGTAGAGATGGCTGTACGCGCGATCCATCAATCCGCTCATCCCAGCCAGCTCTTCCTCCTCGTCACTCTCCAACACCAAGTCTGGCTCATCCAGCTCTGCGCTAGGCGTAGAAGGTCGAGAAGAAAAGCCAGGAGAAGCTGAGGAGAAGCTGCGAGGGAGCATCACGTGTGCGACGCGCTCGCGCGCGTGTGAGCTTCCCTTTGCATCTCATAGCACCACCTTCCCTTTGCAAACATGATCTCCCTTCCGCTCACCTGACGAGCTCCCAATCGCGCGCGCCCAGACCTTGCTGCACCGCCTTGCCCAGCACGACGTTTCTGTCGAGCACCTGCTCGCAGACATGCCAGACGACCGATCGCGTAGGCTTGGCAGCCTGTCCATCCGTATCCGCATCCTCCTTTGCCCCTCTTGCCTTGCCCACACCCGGTCGGACATGCGCGGCCGTGGGACACTTGACCAGCGTCAAGGCCGCCTTTCCGCACGTGCGCTTGTCGTCGGAGCCTAGAGCGAGGGAGAGGAGCTGTGCTGTGCGTCTGCTCACCCAGATGGATGTGGGTGGAGGAGAGGATGGCGGCGGGCTGCTGTTGCTGCTGCTGCTGCTGCTGCTGCTGCTGCTGCTGCTGCTG